GTCTATATACCACTAGGCAACTTGGGTTCATTTCGAGTCCACGTATACTTACTTGGAAGCTGCTAAATGGGACGGCGCGATTACGTTGTTCCGAGCAGCACATAGTGAGGCTTGCGCGCCACATGAATGCAACCATGCTCTCCATTTTCAAATGCAATTCAAGGCTATGCCGATACGCACTCTCCGAAAAAGAGAACAGCAGCGACCGTGTACTCAGCAGCGGATCCGCGCCGCCCAGAAGCAGGCGAGAAACACGTACGCAGGCGAGTCGCTCTGCATCGCCATGCTTTGCCGATCGCCCTCCAAGAGTTACTAGTCCCGCAAGCTCGCACTCGTATCCGTGCTCACTCGCCGCTGCAGTGGATAATCCGCAATAGAAGCACGCACGCTCTCACAATCAGATGCGGCGAAATCAATCGCAGGGCCGCGGCCCCTCCGTATTCCATTCCATTCCATTTCCAACATGATGTTAAATAACGAGCACGCTAACGATTCCAAGATTCCAAAAATCCAAATACCAAATGTCACCACTACACAAAGAAGACCGACAAGGACGGGGAGGAATGTGGGGGATGGCCTGGGGTGAGAAGGGGCGGGAAGAGGGCGCCATGGGGGCGCGGCGCGATGCAAGAAGGCTCGATGGCGGGGATAGGGAATCCGGAAAATCAAATGTATGAGGATGGGGCAGTGTGCAAGTGTGCAAGTGATAATATTAGGATATAGAGGGTATGATATGTCACAAAAGAAATGGTGCAATGGATGACACTTGACAGGGTGAAATGGAATAAGATGAAGTGCGCACTAGCCCCAAGCATTTAGTTGGGCGCGACCGGAGGGGTTGTAGGCCGGATCGAAGGAGCGCGCCGTCGCTGCGTTATATTGCTACTAGCCTCTAGCGGGCGAACTGGCAGCGCGGGAGCCGTCCGATGGCAGCGCCTGCGCGGCCGGAGGCGCAAGGCAATGATGCGCATTGAGCGCCAATCTCGACACGAGAGCGGCGCAAGGGCAGATGCGGAGTCAGTCGCGACTGGGATGCCATGCGACGCATAAATCCTGGCTGTGGTATACCGCCGGTAGTAGAATGGGCTGATGCATGATCCTGAGTATGCGTGTTGTATTGGTGTTTGATGATCATGATAATATATTGTTACAGATAGAGTTACATTGGTCGGCCATGAGGGAGGCGACGACCAAGATGCCGATATGCGCCGTGAATGCAAGACAGAAGCGATGCCTGAGTGATGGGAAGAACCTAGAGTGACTTGCCGCCTTCAACAGCGAACCATGAAGCTGCGAGGAGTGGGAGCGACCTAGAAGGAGGCGGCCAGGCTAATAGTAGTACAATGTGTGCGAGGAGACGGGCATGTGAGGACAATGCAGTTGTCTAATCCAGACTGAACAGGGCTTGAATGGCCTGCTGTGGATCAAGAGATGTTCATAACGAGTCCTGGGCGACGAGGCTCCTCTATAATCCGGGTGACGTGACATAAAACCCATAGCAGAGAGCCAACCGGCACTAACGGTGGAGGCTGGCGACATCGGGTGACAGCGCTGGGGCGGCCGCGGGTGATGACCCTTCGTCCTCCTTCGCAATAGCGCCGTCGAGGCCCTTGTACCCATAAGTCTTACCGAACTCCTTGATCATAGCCTTGCCCATGAGGCAGACCCAGCCAATACCCTCGCCAGTAATGCATTGTCCAGGCCAGAAGAGCTCGCCCTCCTCGTCCTCGATCTCCGGTTCATGCTCGTCGTGGATCGTCAGTCTCGAGTGAACCATGCGAGTGAACGTCCGCGGGAAGTGCTTCGCCATGATCGGGAGCGTCACGTACTTTTGAGCGTTGTCCATCAAGTATGCAGACGCGTTGACTCTCATGCTCTGTGACCTGCGCGCTGCGATGACGTTTGCATTCACCGCAACGGTGAACTGCGGGGGCGGGAGCTGCTCGGCATGTCGTTCCTGCTGTGGCTGAGGACGTGAGTGAGCAGACGCGCTGGGCTGCGAGGTTCCATGTGAGGGTGTCCCAGTGGAAGGGTTGGGTGTACCCTGGACACTGCTTGGTGTCGAGCCCGCACTACTTGCCGGCGATGGGAGCATTGAAGTAGGGGCAGCCTGTTGAGCCTTCAAGTTCGCCAATTTTTCTCGCTCTGCCGCCGCGTCCGCCTCGAACCAGATGCGCATGATCAAGCGTTCGTCCTCCTTTTGCAGGGCGCCCACCGCGAAGCGGACAATGCGTGCGTGGATGAAACCCTCGATCATCAGGCTAGGAAAGATGACGTGAACTAAAAATCGACTCCGAGCGCGGAGGGTAACTTACATTAGGCCGTGAAACGCCTTCTCCTGATCGGTGTCGATATCTTCCAAGCGCCAGACAACGCCCTTGCAGTGGGCAAGGTAGCTTTCTGCCGACCTCCAATTCGGATTGGAGCACGTCCGCTTGCCATAATCTCTAGCCCAGAATGCGTAGGTGAAGCACAGAAGGGCGTCTAGCGCCTCGAGCCGTGCGATGAGATGACCGTACTTGTGGTACGGGGTGCCTGGTGCAGGAGGATTCTGAAGAGGCTTGTAATGTTTATGGCTTGGAGGGTGCATCGAGAGCATGCGCTCCTGCCCCGAGTGCTTGAGCAAGCGGCCGACGCGGAAATACTTGTCGTAGAGCTCATCGTAATGGTTGGCTGGAAGCCGTGATCCACGGCGGGGACGGCGGACTGGAATGCTGGACATCGTGGCAATGGAGCTCCTGAAGGGATCCTCGCTGAGCTCGCCATCTTCTGATGGCTCGCGAATGGCAAAATCGACTCGGGATGATGGTCGGGTCTGTGGGAACGACGGGACCGGGGGCAGGCGGCTGGTTGTAGCCTGGTCGCCCGCAATGCTTGTGCGAGGTTTCTTGTTCGGCAATTGTTCTGAAGATGACTCGAGCTTGCGCTTAGATCCTTGGAGCGGTGCTGGAGAAGCACTGCGAGAGGAGGGGGGCGATGGGGGGAGGGTTGGTGGGAGCGGGTCAGTGAGAGGGCCGAGGATCTGACGAGAAGATGAGATGGAGTTGAAGGAGAAGGGAGAGAGAACAAGCCTGTAGACACTCTTCGAGATCTGCACGGGTGTACTTCCTGGAGGGGAGTGAGGAGTGAGGAAGACGTCTGGGAGCAGGAGAGGGAGGGGGGGCTGACCGCTTCTTGTGCTTGTGCGGCGGTGCTGTCGACGAGGGGGACGACGAGGGGGAGGTGGCGCTCGACATGGGAGGCGAGGAGGGGATGGTGGTGGTGGAAGACAAGAAGGCAAGGGCGGTTGGGACCGCAACAATGGCGTGAAGTCGGCGGAGGGTCAACACACATTGGCCACAGGTTGTGGCAGCCGGCTCGCTGGGCGCCTCCCGATCCGCTGCCTCGGTTCGTCGCTATCACCCCTGCCCTTTCTGCCACTTAATTTGCATCAAATAACCCTGCAGGCTCTCGCAGTAGCCATGTCCCTCAACAGCCTGGCATGCACAGACGGCGGCGAGCTGTGCGATGAACCATGCGGAGAGGCCGGGAGAGACAGGACGACCTCGGTCTGGCCGGATCGATGGTGTTCAAGCACCGATTTCCACATATGGGAGGTGCGTGGGGCAGCCCGTCGCCCTTCCATTCTCATGAGGCCCTCATCACGGACGGTTTCCTCTGCCGCCCCATCATTCTCGCTGCCGTCCGTTCCATATCTTGTCTTTCCAATATCGCTCACAGGGTTTGTCGCTCATTTCGCATTCTCACTCGCGCGCCGTGACGTCGATGCGGACAGTGGACCGGCGTGCTCGCTTGAAGGCCCCCGTCCTGGAATCAACCAAGACCCATTGGCAGCCTTGGAGCAACCCCAGACGAAGGCCTCCCAAGTTCTTTTCCGTGCAGCCGCCGTACCTCCTTCCGGAAGGCGGGTCAAGTGCCCGGGTCTAATCCTCCTCCTTGGTAGCTTCACTGACATTCCACCTCGTGATCCTTTCGCCTCGTTTCCCCCCAACCTACTTTCCAGTGGAGCGCATACCTCTTCCATTGTCGCCCATTGCCCGCAAACGTGCCTCCGGGGCCGCGGACAAAACAAGCGCACTGGAACACATTTGAGTGGCAGTGGGCCTCATTGGTCAAAACGCAGAACGCGCGTGCGATGCTGACCGATCGGGGTCTTGAGTAAGGTGCTCTCCTCAACCCGCGACTGGCCTCGGCCGCACAGCTCCCCTCCGGATCTCTCCTCCACTCGCCGCGCTCGCCGCCTACCCTTCAGCTAGTATATAGTCCAACGTCATCGCCACGGCCGTCGACCTCGACGACGACCAGGGCCCCTCAGAGTGGAGGCAGCTGATGCTTCCGCCTTGGCCGCTGGGTCAAGCTGCTTGGTGAGTGATCTCTGATCGGTTCCTGAGCTTGAGTGCCGGCTTACCTCCTATGGGAACCCTATTTACTCCGAAGCCTCCCTCGGTCATTTCCGCACGTGCTCAGGCCTCCTCCCGCTCCCGACGCGCCCTCCCGACCCCGACGCGGAGACATGTGTTCTCCGCGCCTGGCCGCCATCGTCGCGCGTTCGTGTGTCGCCCCTAACAGCGTCAATCCTCGGGCGACGGGCGGAAGACCCGCGATCAACCGCCTCATCACGCACATTGGCCGGTAAGGGTT